TCAATAATATGTACTGCATTAAAACAGATGAGGGAGAAAAGTGTTTAAAAGGGATATGTAATTAGGTATTTTTGTCATGACAGGAGTCTAGAGCGAAGGCTACATGCTGGAGTAGAGCTGGGGGAGGGTTTGTAAAACAATGAAAGAATTTTTCTTTTACCTTTCCAAAAGGGTAGTGTACTAGGGGGAAGGGTTGGAAGGGGAGAAAAGTGCAACAATGAATGAATGGAAATCCAATGTCTCTGTAAATTTTCACTGAATAAATTAAAAAAAAGTAGACCTAAGAAGAATCTGTTAACAACAACAACAACAACAACATAGAGAGCTCTGTTGGCCTAGTGGACAGAAAGTGATGCTACCAAGCCAAAGGTGGGTGATTTTAATCTGCGGCCCTCAGGCCTGGTTTTAATTGTTTTTGGTCACACATTCTTCTAAGTGGTATAGCACTGGTCTGTCCATTTGCCAAACAGAGTTCACTTGTGGTTACTCTGATGCTAAACACTGGGATACTGATGTGTCAAATGCGATAATGGTTACCCATGGTGGACAGTGTTTAATGTAGCTCCCGGATTAAAACAAGCTTGGAAGCAGGAGTGGCACTTCTGAAATAGCTTGCCTCCGGAAATTCTATGAACTTGCAGAAAAGATGAAAGTTATATAAGTGTTCAGGTCTTTTGTTCATAGGGTCGCTATGAGTCATCCATTACGTGATGACACTTAACAACAACAACAACAATCTAAGGATAGATTCTAATCTAAGGAAAACCTAAGTATATCATATTTGGAAGGGTTGAGGAACAGTGCAGGACAGGAAGACCCTGGATGAGATGGATTGACACAATAACTGGCATAATGAGGGTAGGTGCGTCAGAGACAGTAAGACTGGCTCAGAATCAGTGCTATTGTGCATAGAGTCTCTATGAGTTATAGTTGACTTGACAGCACATAATAATAATAAGAAGAAGGTGGAGGAGGAGGAGGAGGAGGAGGAAGAGGAGACGATGACGATGACAAAGAAGAATCGGTGCCTTGAATTATGGTGTTGGCAAAGAGTATTGAACAGACTATCAAAAGGATACATTAATCTATCTTGGAGGAAGTACAAAACTAGGATGTTCCTTGGAGACAAAAATGGTGGAACTTCATCCCTCATACTTTGGGGATGCTGTCAGGAGGTTCCAGCCCTTTGGGAAACAGACACACATGGAAAGGTAGGGGGTCAGGGAAAGATAAGAAGACCTTCAATGAAATGAATGGGTAGAGTAACTGTAACATGGGTTCGAGTATGGTAGAGATTGTAAAGACAGTACAGGACAGGGAATGGTTTCCATCTGTTATTCACAGAGTGGCTATTAGTCGTAGTTTATTTGATGACACTTAACAACAACAACAACAACATTACCAAATGTGCTCGTTGCTACTGCTGAAAAAAAAAATTGAATAAGACACAGTGTGTTCTAGCAGCTCAAGAGAGATTTACAGGAAAATCATTGAATCCAAATTCTTTGCTGACGGGAGGCTGCCCACCATGCTGGATAGCCCAGTACAAAACGATGTCAACCAGGCTGGGGGGACTTCTTCTTGAAGGAGGTATGGCCTGAACTGAGCTCTGAAGGCTGAAGCAAGTTTGCAAGACCAAGAAGAGGGAGAGACATGAAGGAGTGGGTGAGGCAGTCAGGGAGCAGAGGTATTTGCATAGCCACACCCATTTTATGTAAAGCAGATGGGCTAGACAGACTGGGCCTAAGGGGCGTCTGTGATAACCCAGGAAGCCAGAGTTTTTTTTATCCTGAAGGAATGAGTTGCCACTGAAACCTTTTTGGTGTGGAACGACATGGGCTTTGAATTAGGAAGGTCACATTGGCAACCGCAGAGTGACAGGGGCCAACAGGGCTGTGGATAGGGGCTGAGCAGTGGGTCTGTGATGGGGAGGGTGCAGGAAGGGTAGGCAGGGGAAGAGGGAACAGGGGGGCTTGGTGACGGTAGACGGAGGGGGGAATACTGAAACCCTCGCTGTGACGCTGGGCTTAAGTAGACAGAGAATCTGGTAAAGAGGCAGATGTTGCATGTGTAATGGAGATGGTACAGATTCATAGCTGACCCTCCGGTAGATTTTTCAGAGGCTTTAAATTGTACAGGAGGAGACTCCATGTCTCTCATGGAACAGCTGGTGGATTAGAACCACATGCTTTAAGGTTAGCAGTACAACTTATTTTTAAAATATTTTTAATTGATATTTTAACGGAAGTTTACAGAAAACTTGGATTTCCATTCGTTCATTGTTGCACATTTTCTTCCCCACTGCCAGTTCGCTTTTCTCTTTAAAAAGATTCTTTCATTGTTGCACAATTTCCTCCCTCCCCTCAATCCCAAGTCCACATTACTCTACACCTCTTACTCTGGATTATTGTCATGCAAATAATACCTAATCATATATTTCTTTTAGACAGTTCTTTCCTTCATCTATTTAAATTCAGTGTTCATTAATTTCCCCCTCTTTTCTTAGTTTCTTCCCAACCCCCATGGCAGTTCTGCTTTACAACAGTGGCACTATGCAGTATATGTCCTTTTGTGACTGAGATACTTCACTCAGCATAATGTCCTCCATGGTCACCCATTTTGTATAGTATTTTGTGAGTTCCTAGTTTTTCAGTGCTGCATAGTATTCCATTGTGTGGCTCTACCACAGCTTCTCTATCCATTAATTTGTTGATGGGCATTTAAAAATTTTTTAATAAAATTTTTGTTTTATACTAGTTTACTTAAAAAGTTCATGTACATGGTTTTTCACACCAGATCTTTCCATCTTAGCATTTTGGGGTGGACTGAGTTTGCAGGTCATAGGACATTGGGGAGTGCCTCATGGTACCAGCCTGGGGGCGCAGGGAAAGGGTTCTGGCAGGAGGCAGTGATTTGTTGTTCCCCTTCCTCTCTGGAGTCTGTGGAGGACCCTCAGGCAGTAGTGGAGTTTCAGTAGAGGGATGTCACCTGGAGAAAGACAGACACTCTGATAGGAATGTGTATCTATCTTGACCTCAGGTCCTGTCTGGTGCAGAGAAGCAGCAGGGGAGAGACTCCTATAAGACGCACAGCTTGAGAGAGGCTGAGCCAAGCTCTCTGGCACCACATTCCTTCATCAGCAAACGATGAACAGCAGCAGCCTGTAGTTCGATGCTGTGGGCCTTACCAGGACTGAGCCAGGCCTGGGAGATGGAAGTGGCTCCAGTGTTTTTGGTGCCCTATGTCAGAGCAGGTCACCAAGATCCTCATGAGATCTTGGAAAGCAGGAACAACTCTAAGGCTGTTCCAGCCCTGCCTCTCTTCCTCTGCTCATCTCCCTTCCTCCAAAAAGACCCCGTTTGTGCAGTCTGGGCCTTTGTTGGATTTCCACTACGTGGTGGGATCTCTCAGAGCCCTGGAGGGTGAGTTCCCAAGGCCCGGAGTCCTGGGTGTTCCCTTACTGTCCTTGTCCATACAAGTCCTCCTTGTGGGTCAACATCCCAGAGTTTATATTCTGTTCAAGGGAACAACTCCAAGTCCTGACTGGTCCAGGCCCATCTTGAAGCTCTCAGTGGACCTAGGTGACTTCCACAGCTCCCCAGGGTAGGGGTCCTCTGACCAGGGCAGGCACTCTGGTAGGGTTGGGCTCTGCTACCCTGGCCTGAGCTGCTCTTCCAGTTGCACTGTCACCTTGTCAGCCCCCAGAGGGCGCTGTATTTCCCTGTTGAGAACTGTCTATGGTGGATGGTGTGTAACTGGCCTTTGTGGAGAGTAAGCTCTGTGAAGGCAGGGCCATCAGTGTTTTATTCATGTTCAATTCCAGAGTCTAGAACTTCACTAATTATTTGTTGAGTGAGCAAATGGTGCTGCCTAATTTACAGCTGGGGAACTTTGATGGCCTAGTGGCAAGAAGCTGTGCTGCAATCCTGAAGGCACACGGTTCAAACCACCACCTGCTCTGTGAGAGAAGGATGGGCGGTCTCCTCCCATGCGATTAACTGCCTGTGAAAACTCGGTGGAGGGTCACCTATGGGTTGGTTCCGACTTCATGGTCCACAACAACAACAACAATTTACAACTATATTTAATCTACAATGAAATTCCAACAGGATCAGGAATGCCCCTTTCCCCTTCTGGTGGATATTGAGGTATTGAGTCTCTAGTACAACAGAATTTTGTGGTTAGCAGCATTAGATGATCCACCTTGGTCTGAGGGACGGGAGAGAGGGGATTGCAGTCCTGAGGAAGACTATTTCCAAGTCACTGGGGTCTGGAATCCCCAGCTGCTCCACTTGAGGATGTCTCTTCCCATGCCACTGATAGCGTGTGAAAACCCACCAGAGGGTCAGTTATGAGTCAGTTCCCACTCGATGGCCCATAACAGCAACAATAACAGCAAGGGCCTGGCGGTGCAGGTTGTAAGGAGTTGTGTGTTAACCGAAAGGTGCCACGCTCTGGTGAGTCAAATCCATCAGTGGCTCTGAGGTGTGATCTAAAGCCTTGGAAATCTGCCGGAGGGTCAGCTACCAGTCAGTTTCGACTCCACATCAAAGGTGTGCATTTTGAGGTTGTGCAGGCTGGGAACGTGTGCTCAGCCTCCTCGGAGCTGCAGGTATCTAGTCCTGTCTGCTGCAGCTGCTCTCCTCCGCTCCCAGGCCCCAGGGACCCCAGTGGAAAGGAACTTCCTTTATGTCTGGGTAGTTCTGTGCAGGTGCTGTTTCCTGAGAATCTTGGGCTGTGCAGCCAGGAGACCAGGGGATGCACTGAGAGTGGGTCTGGATGCCCAGCCTGACTTGATGGGGAGGGGGGCCGGTGCTGGTCCTCCTGCCCTGGTGTTTACGTCTCCCTGGCTAAGGGCTCCCTTACAGGGTTACTCAGAGCCCCTTCCCCAGTGTCTTCATCTCAGCCACCGTCCTGACTTGAAGAAACCATGGATTCCTCACAATATCATCTCTGTCCTGCCTTCTCTCACGGTGTTTCCCCCCTTTCATTCTTTTAAGATTGGTTCGGGACAGTGGGCCTCGGGAGAAGACCCCTAAATCTCTTGGTAAGTACTCTCTGTGTGCACCCCAACCCCATCAGTTACTTGACTCTCTGATATCCTGGGAGGAGACCCCAGCGATCTTGTCCCCAGTTTTCTATTTTATGGAAGGAAAGCTGAAGAAGTTTCTGGGGCCCCACCCTCAGGGTGCAAGCAGGCCTGGATGTGGGAGGGTAAGAGAAGTATCATTCATGGAGCCTCACAGTGAGCCAGGTGTGCGCACGTCCACCAGCTCCTGCAGCCCTGACAGCCCAGTTTACAGACAGGGGTCACACTGGGCTCTGTGAGCTGACAGTTCAGGGGTTAGTGTGGCATCGCCAAGATTCATGTGCACAGGATGTGATAAGCCAGTATGAGGAATGTGGCTAGCATAGTAGGGCTCCTGTGTTACTATCTTATGCACCATACCGCCAGGGCTTCCCCCAGGTGGCACCGTCTAAAGCGCAGCATGTCCCTGAATTTTGTGGTGTTCCTGTAGTCCTTGCCCTTGCTGCCTGGCACCTCTGACATCTGCTCAGATGGAGACCCTAGCAGCATCTCCCCCCAGCCTGGCTCCCCAGACAGGCTACTGCCAGTGAGCTATGCCACCCTGGGCATCCCAGGGCCCTCACTCTACCCACATTGTTCTGTTGCCTCATTTTAAGCCAATGGAAAATAATTCTTCACTGAACAGTGTGGAAACTGCAACCCACAAAACCGTAGTCAGGTTGGTCCAGAGTTTTAAAGGTTTAAATGTCAGGAGATTAGGGCCAACCTGGAGTGGAAGTGAGGCCTTGTTGGGGGTGGGTGGCGGCCCGGAGACTCAGGCTTAGAGAGGCTCTTTGAAGAGGTGGGGGGGAGGTTTCTTCATTGAGAGGATGACCTAACTCTGTGGATGAGGGTGGGGTGGGGTGACTGGCGGCCAAGGGAGGGTGAGCAGACCTGGAGCAGGTGGTGATGGGGATAGAGGCAATTGCTGTGTTGGTGGCAGAAGGGGTGGAGTTGCCCTGATCGGCTTGCTGGCAGGTCACTTGCTAATCACCTCAGCGGGTGGGTCAGTCTTAAGAGGTCTCCCGGATCAGGACACAGAGCTGAACCTGGGAGGCACATCTGGCAGCCCAGAAGCCCCAGTGGCAGCTGCCCCTGCCCTGCTCTCCATACCAGACTGTTGGGAGAGTACTCTGACATCCCCAGTGCCTGAACCAGCCCTGAGGATGCTGCTGCGGGGAGAGGAGACCCGTCAGTAAACACCTCCTCCTGATCACCAGGCTTACGGCTAGAAAACAAATTCCCCAGGGCCTAGGGGCAGGGACAGGCTGCTCATACAGAGGTATGTGTGAAAAAGAGGGCGACACAATGTCAAAGTCCTTCTTGGTCTCTCTGACTCTCTAGCCATGATCTGTGGATCCCACTGTCCACCCTATGGACTATGATGATCCAATCACATGAAACATGCTTAGAATATAGTAGACACTCAGATGGTAAGATCTGACGCTGGAGATGTCCAGAATCTTAGAACATTCTTACAGTCCTTGTCCTGGTCACCCAGCACAGGGTAGTGTGCCCTCCACCCTGTGTCTTGCTTTTGGACAGATAAAGGTTCCTTTCATCTTGTTCCTCTTCATCTTGACACGTTGGCTCTGCTTTCCAGTCCAGCCCTTCATGCATCAAGTAGAGGGATCCTTTGTACAAGCAAGGGGTGGGACAGAGAACGAGAGTAGTAGTCCTGCAAGACACCACAAATGGGGCTCCCTCTCTCCCCAGAGAACTCCTGGTTTTCAGTTTTACCTGAGGATTTTTTTAAAAAATAGAAGAACTTTAATGTAAAAAAGAAATAAATAAGCCTTGTCTTTCTGATATGTATTTTTTTTAAATTGTGTATGTGTGTGTGTGTGTGTGTACTGTCAAATCGGATCTGACTGGTACAGGAGGAGATTGTTCCTCCTTCTCCAGCAGAGCATCTGGTCATTTGAACTGCGCACCTCTGGGATTGCACTGCAGCTTCTCGCCACTAGGCCACCAGAGCTCCCCTCTGATATGTATTTTAATGTCCACTGATGGGGGAAATGTTAGACTAACAAAGAGATAAAATGGATTTATGCATTTGGAAATCAATTCGTGTTTCATCAATTACAAGAGCATCCAGTGGTCAGTGGGCCTCAGCTTTCCTGTCTGTAAAAATGAGTGGACTGTACTAGCAACAGTTAGTGCTCAGGCCCCTCCAGCCCAGCCTCGTCCTCTGTGCCACGGACTCACACAGGCCTACCTGGTAGAAAACACTTAGTGTGCTCTTTGCACGAATTCTCTTGTTGAGATACATACTCCCAGGGAAGCTGGAGCTTCCTATTCCCAGGAAATCTCTTAAACTTAAGAAGTATCAGAGGCTACAGAGTCTGTTTCCTACCCAGCCTCCCTGCCCCTCTACGGTCATAGGATCTGTGTAGAGCCAGTTCGATGCTGATTCTTTTCACTACACTAAATTTAACTTATGCCTTTCTCCATCAAGGGAATGTTTGCACAAGAATTGAGGGTGGAGGGCTCAGACAGTGATTTAACACCAGCTGTAGGGTTCTAGAGTCCCAGGAGCAGGGGTGCTGGGCAGCCTCAGTTCCAGTTTTGTTCTTGACTCCTCAGAAGCAAGGCTTTCAGCCCCAGTGGTGAGAGACAGGTCTGCCGCTGCCGAGAAGCCCTCACTGCCTTCCTCTCAGTCTGCTCCCACCTTCACGGCCTTCTCCTTCAGCCATGCCAGAGACGCCCGCCCTTTGCTAAAAGAAGAGGCCCAGAAGGAGAGTAACAGCAAGGTATCTGTGAGCACGGGGAGGAAGGGGTGAGGTCTAAGTGGGCCGCTGCATCGATGCCAGCAGATTTTTAAAAATATCCGGTTGTGGGACCAGTTTATGTGAAAGCACCAAAAGGCCCCATGACAACAACTCTTAGTGCTGAAGATTAGACCTTAGAACCTGTTGTAGGGCCTGGGGTGAGGATTGAAGAAAGGGAGAGAAAAAAGAGAGGAGAAGGGCGAGATGGGGGCTAGATGAGGATGAGAGTACAGTGGGAGCCGTGGGGGAGGGCTGAGGGAAGAAAGCAGGCCATGAGGAGGCTACACGTGGTTTGGAAGGAAGCAGGATGTGGGGGAGAGGACAGAGGGGCTTAGGTGAACCAAGCTGAGTAACATGAGTCAACAACCCAAGATAGCAACTGGCTGACTCACAGGCTGCCCAGCCACGGGTTGTGCCCAACAGGCTGACAGATACCTTGTCCTTCCCAGGTGACCTTGGGGAGATGGCTTCTCCTTCCTGGTCTGGGAGAATTTAGCAACACTTGAAGAGTCACTATTATGGGAGACTTTTGCCAAATATAACTATGTGCATGTGTTATGTTAGAGACAGACTCGCTGATGCTTATGACAAGGTCTACTCACCACAGTCCTCCCACTTGAGTGAGGGTGCTGGGATGTGATAATTCAGTTCACAGAAATGACTTCATCTCCCACCCTACCTTCTACTCACATACACCACAGACAGGGAGGATGTAACCAATCATCCTCACCACCATCTCGGCGTCACCTGCCCCATCATCTCACCCTCCTCTTATATATTGCTCTGATTCATTTGTTCTCTCACTTCCATCAACATTCTCCTCTTGACAGGACTGTTCCTCTTAGCACCAAAAGCTCTTTCTTATCTCTTTCATCTTAAGAAAACATGACACAGTCAAACCAGACCGAAACTATTGCCACATCTCTTCGTTCACTCCAGAGCCCAATTCAGATGGGCTTTAATTTCCACGGCCCCATTGAAACGGCCCCCCACTGAGGTCACCAGTGACCCCTGACCCTTCCAAACTGCTCTCTGTCCTCTTGTAACTTGAACTATCAGCAGCTTTGACCAACTTGTCACTCACTCCTCTTGAGAAATCTCCGTGTAGGAATGGAGGCAAGGAGATGGCTTGTTTCTTGCTTCTCTGCTTACACCAAAGGCCAGCTCAGCGCTTTTTCTGGCCACGACTCATCTTCTTCGGGAACTCTGGTGGCTTAGTGTGTAGGGAGTTGCAATGCGGACCCAAAGGTAGTGAGCTGAGTTCATTGCTTTGACTTCTTTCTTGACCTCTAAATACTGGAGTTTCTCTGGGATCAGAGAAACTATTTCTTTTAACCCTCCCGGGTGAGCCGATCCAGTGTCCATGGTTTTAAGGACCATCATTTAGAGCTCTTGTACATGGGGTCGCTATGAGTCGCAAGCGACTCGATGGTACATAACAACAACAACAACATGCTAAAGACTCCTGAATTTTCTTCTCTACTCCAGACCTTTTTGCATTATTTGACCTCTGGATATCCCCACTAGGATATACACTTGCTATGTCAAATTTACATGGAGGTAAGAAACTGTTGCAGTCCTGAAGACACACAGTTCAAATCAACCAGGGGAAAGATGGGCAGTCTTCTCCCGTGTGGTTAACTGCCTCCGAAACCTGCTGGAGGGTCAGCTATGGGTCTGTTTTTTTTTTTTTTTTTTTTTTTTTTGGGTCTGTTCTGACTCAACGGTACAGAACAACAATAACATTTCAAACTTACGTTTCTAAAACTCAGCTCTTACATCCTTACCCCCTAAAGCTCTTTCTCTGGTGCCTCCTTTTCAGTGAATGGCAGTCAAAGGCAACTCCAGGCTTCTAGTTGCTCATGTTAGAATCTTGGGCCATTCTTAGCTCCCCTCTTTCACTCCTATCCCATACGTCCTACGTCAGCAAACGTGGTGGACCCTACTTTTGATAGCAGGGCCAGAACCTGCCTGTTCTCACCATCCCCCTGCCACAGTTCTTGCTCAAACTACTGTGTTAGCTTCCTAACTGCTCTCCTTGCTTCGACCTGGTGTCTGCTCCAGGCTGTTCCCCTGGCATCAGCCAGTGTGGTCCTTTTACTAGTGGAAGTCAGGATGTTCCGTGACTATGCAAGATATTATTCCTAACCCCCCCCCAAAAAAAAACCCACACGATACTATTACTGAGGGAAGCTGGGGGAACAACTTCGTGAGAGTCAAACTATTTCCAAATAAATTTGTTGTTAGGTACCACTGAGTTGGTTCCAACTCATAAGTGACCTGCATATAAAAGAGAACAAAACACTGCCAGACCCTCGGCCACCTCGCGGCCATTATTGCCAGCAGTGTTGCCAACCAGCTTGTTAAGGGACCTCTTTTTTTTTCACTGACCATCTGCTATATCACACATGATGTCCTCTAGGGACTGGCCCTTCCAAATATAATTATTAATAATTTATAGTCATTCCACAGACTTACTAAAATTGCAAAAAAAATTCCTCAAAATTGCATTCAGATCGGGTCACTCCAAGCCTAAAACCTGGAATGGCTCTCCAGAGCCTAACCGTGGATTACAAGGCCCAGGGCTCTATGGGTCCTGCATCCCCTCTACCCTCACGTCTCCGTCTTGTTCCGGGTCCTACCTTTAGCCCAGAGTGCTCCAGCCTGAATCTTCTGTACTACATCCCAGCCTCATCAAGCACAGTCCACACTCAAGACCCTGATGACTGCTGCTCTCTGGTCCCAGCCACACCAAGCTCACTCCACACTCAGGACCCTGGTGGCTGCAGATCTCTCTGGTTGAGACAAGTCTGTCCCTAGAAATCTCCATGACCTCTGCCCTCACTTTTTGTATGGCTCAGCTTAAACCTCACCTCTTCGGAAGGCCCTTTTGGCTTTTCTGTCTAAAATCAAAGTTCCGTAACCCTTTGTTTTCTTTATGTTCCTTTACACATATTACCTAATATTGTAGACGGAACTGTTTCTTGTTTCTTTGGGGCAGAGCTGGGTGGAAGGATTCTGTTCTTTTTCATTCACTCTCAGAACAAGTAGGAGACATATGGGAGGCATGCATGTTTTTATTGACTGAATTTGTTGATTGATGGAATGGAAGTACAGAGAGTCAATGAACATACAAGAGGACTAGTTTCTGGAAGACAGTGACATCTGAGTAGGGTTCTGAAGGGTGGGTTGCAGCTGGGAGGGACTTCCCAGAAGTGGCATCAAGTCACTGTCACAGGCCTTAAAGCAGATGCCATGGGTCAGGGAGATCCGTGGCCAGTCCTCGTGGAGAGTGGAGCCAGAACAGCGTGTCTGAAGATGCACTGCCTTGTTTTGGTCTGTTTTCCTTATTAAGTGGTTTGAGTGCTCTGGACCCTGGGGTTGAGCTGGGTCTCCGAAGTTAATAGAGTTTACCTTGAACTTGTGCCAGATCCAAGTCACTATCTCCAAGTCTGCCCAGGAGAAGATGAGACTGAAGCAGATGAAGGAGATGGAGTTGCTTCAGAGGACAAAGGAGCCGGAGAGGGAGCGAGAGCTCGCTGGCCAGAGCCTGGGTTCCCGGAGGGCCTTGAGGGAAGGTACTGGGGCCTGGGGGCTGGGACTTCCACATGATAGGAGAAATATCTTGACCAACTCCTGGGTTCTCAGCCCTACAAGAGGAAGCCTGACCTGGGCCCTGCACCCTCTCACAGCCCACGGATGGGCTCAGCTCCCTCAGGGGAGACATGGAGTGGGAGCAGGCAGGACTGTCCTCCCTACACTTCCCTCTCTCTCCACAGGCCTCCTTCCGCTCCGGGGAAGCGGGACCCAGTCTGTGCCCATGGGGCTGAGCAGTCCACGAAGAAATGTCGGCCTCATCCTGAGGAAGCGGGCCAACCGCTCTTCCCTCCCCAGCATCCCTGTCAGCAAGAAGGAGCCCAGCTTTGCCCGCCATGCTTCAGGTGGGCTGGGCTGTGTATCCGCGCCCTGGGCTGGGTCTGGCCACGTCTGTTGTTGTTAAGTGCAGTGAAGTTGTGCACGACTTGTAACAACGCTGTGAACACTATGAACAGGGATCTGAACCTTGCTCTGTTCTAAGCCGTCCTCACTCTCTCTGTCACCCTCAAGCCCCGTTGTTACAGTCACTGTGTCAATCCATCTCATTGGGGGTCTTTCTTGCTTCCCCTGACTCTCAACCTTTCCCAGCAGGAGGTTTTTATCCAAAGACTGGTTCCTCCGGACAACTGGTGCAAAATATGCGAGACCCTAGCCTCTAAGGAGCACTCTGGTCGCAGTCCCTCTAAAACAGATCAGCTTGTTCTTTTGGTAGTCCACCATAGACCCACTATTTGCCAGTGCCACAATTCAAATGCATCAGTTCTTCGATCTTCTTTATTCATTATCCAACTATCAGATGCAGACGAGGTCACTGAGAATACCATGGCTTGGATCAGGCGCACCTTAACATGCCTTTAAACGGACCGTCTTCCTCTTTAGTAATTTGGAGAAGTCCTTGATGGTAAATTTCCCCAGTGTAGAACATCATTTAATTTCTTGACTGCGGCTATTGTGGATGTTGATTGTAAATTCACATAAAATGAAACGGGATGTTTAGGGGGTGGTGAAGTACCCTTGGCTGCTGTGCTTCACGTTGAACTAGAGGGCTGCCCGGGGTTTGGCCAGTTTGCTGAGAGATAAGTGGTGGCTGGAACTGACTGCTGTCTGTGAGTTGGTGTGGAGACCCAGGACCTCATGACCGCGATGGGAGGACAGGCATAGGTACCCTGCCTGCGTGTTCTAGAGGAGTGTCAGGGCATCGGAACCCAAGGATGCGGGGAACTCAGGAGGAGAGGATATAGGGAGCTGTTGCTTCACTGGCTGCTACTTCAGAAAATGTCAGGACTTGAGAGTGCTGGTTACAAGGGTGTGTGTGTGTGTGTGTATGTGTGAGTGTGAATGTCAATGTCAGAGGAGCCCAAAGATTCAACTTGAGGAGGTGCCAAAGGGCAAAGGCAAGACCCTCATCCTCATTTTATCAGAAGAAATGCCATTTTACCTAACTTTTGGGTACTTGATGTTCACGTGAGATTCCATTTGAAAAGATGTTGCTGCTAACACCTGTTTGAGGTTAATCAATCTGGTTCAGAGTGTTTTTGTGTGTGGGAATTTTGCATGAAAAGTTTGAAGATAGAACTTCTGAAAACGTAGCTAGTGAGAATGCTATGGAGCACAGCTCTGCTCACATGACACCATCCTGATTTAGAACCAGATGGCGTGTATGTGGGTAGATATGTGCATTTGAAAGAAAGAAGGCATTTGTTGTTTGTTGTGTTAAGTCCCATTGAGCTGACTATGACTCCTGACACGACCCTGTCAACAAGTGATCTGAATGAAATTCGCCTGCTTTCCAATGTGCTCCAGCTCACACAGTCACTGCACTGCGTCAGTCCATCTCACTGAGGGTCTTCTTTTTCTCTGACTCTGCAACTTTCCCAGCAAGAGAAATATACATGAAAGCAGGAGTGCCATCCACTTCCTAAATAACGTGCCTCCAGAAACTCTATGAACGTTGATAAATGTCGATAGTTGTAGAAGGGCTTTGAGGTGCAGAATGAATCACTTAAATCGCTTTACAATCAACACCTGTTTCTCTTTTGGATCTGGCTAGAAAGCATTTCAGGATTGTTAACTGCTTGTCTTGATTTTCTTAATAAATCCTGTGAGATACTTACGTCCCCTGGGAGACGGGGTTGCTGTAGGTGAGCTCCACTGAACTGGCTCAAGCCCTTCTGTTTCGTGTGTGCAAAGAATGTTTTCCCTATTAAGGATGATTTCCTTAGGATATAGTCCCAGAGTGGAAATTACTGGGACAAGTGGCATCAAATGTGAACATTATCCAACCACTGTCAGGGGATGAGAGGGACAGAGGGAAACAAACCCAACCCTCTAGAGATGAGAGACTGAAGTTCCCTCCACCAGTGCCTCTTGGGTGTTTGTTTTAAAGCGTATGTGAATGCTGAATAACAGTGTGAGATGGCTTAGCTATCTGTTGATATTGTTATGTGCCGTCAAGTTCCTTGTGACTCATAGCGACACTATGTACAACAGCCCTAAACTCTTCTCTGTCCTGGGCCAATCTCACTGTCTCCGACACACCTATCCCCATTACCCCAGTCACTGAATCAATCCATCTCATAGAGGGTCTTCCCCTCCTGCGCTGTCTCTCCACCCTCCCAAGCATGACGTCCCTCTCCAAGGACTGATCCCACCTCACAACATGTCCAAGGTATGTCAGACGGAGCCTCAGAATCCTTGCCTCCAAGGAGCAGATGAACTTGTTTGTTCCCCTGGCAGTCCATGGTATATTCAATACGCTCCTCCAAGACCCCAGCTCAAAGGCATCAATTCTCCTATCATCCCTAGTCATTGTCCAGCTTTCTGCTTAGCTCCCTAGTGTTGCTGTAATAGAAAGATCTATGGCTTTAAAGAATAATTCAGGAAGCCAGAAGTCTGAATTCAGGACCTGGCTCTAGAGAAGACTCTTCTTTGTCTATATTTCCTTCTAGTTATTGTTGTTAGTGGCTATTGAGTACAACTCTTGTGAACGATCTGAATCTTGTTCTATCCTGTACCATCCTCACACTTCTTGACACACAAGAGCCCATTGCAGCAGTCACTATGTCAGTCCATCTGGTTGAGGGTCTTCCTCTCCTTTGCTGACCCTCCACCCTTCCCAACATCATATCTTTCTCCAAATATTAGCCCCTCCTACCAAAATGTCCAATGTTTGTGAGGCAAAGTCTCATCATTCTTGCCTCCAAAGAGCACTCTGGCTGCACCTCTCCAGGACAAATCTGTTTTCTTGGCCGTCCATGGGATGTTCAGTGCTCTTCTCCAGCACCACAGCTCAAAGGAATTAATTCTTCTTCTATCATCCTTACTCATTGTCCATCTCTCAGATGCATAGCAAGTGACTGGAAAGACTATGGCCTGAATCAGATGCACCTTAGTCCTTCAACTGACACAATTACGCCTCAATAATTTGGAGAGGTCCCTAACTGTAGATTTTCCCAGTGCAATGCGTCTCCTTATTTCCTGACTGCATGTACTAAGGGTGTTAATTGTGGATCCAAGCAAGATGAAGCTGTTGACAGTTTCAATCACCTCTCCATCCATCATGTTGTTGCCTATCAGTTCAGTAGTAAGAACCTTTGTTTTCTTGACATTGAGATGCAACCCATATCGCAGGCTTCATTCTTTGATCTGTAGCAAGTGCTTCAAGTCCTCCTCACTTCCAGCAAGCAAAGTTGTGTCATCTGCATAATGCAGAATACAGAATACTGATGAGTCTCCCTCCAATCCTGATACCACATTTCTCTTCATAGAGTCCATCTTCTTGGATACTTTGCTCAGCATACAGACTGAATAGGTATGGAAGAGAATGCAACCCTGCCGCACTCCTTCTTAATTTTAAACCCTGTAGTGTTCATCTGCTCTGTTTGTACAACAGCCTCCAAGTCCAGGTATAGGTTCTGCTTGAGCACAATTAAATGTCAGCCATAACTTGTCATACTAGCTTAGTAATCCTTGGAGTTCTGGCCTTACAGGTATGTATGCAGTGTATGTCTGTCTCCATGTGGCATCTTGCCCCTCTTTATCCCTCTGAGTTTCTTGTAACTGGAAAGTGATTACATTTAGGACCCACTCAGCTCTAGTATGATCTTATTAACATAAATAAAATCCCACTTTACAAGCCTCTATCATTATCAATGGAGAAAAGATTGCAGTTGTCATTGATTTCATCCTACTTGACTCTACAATCAACACCCCTGGTACCAGTGGCCAGGAGATCAGGAGATGTATTGCGCTGGGAAAGTCTGCAGTTAGGGACCTCTCCAAATTATTGAGGAGCAATGATGTCAGTTTAAAGACTATGATGTGTCTGATTTATATCATAGTCTTTCTAATCACTTGCTATGTGTCTAAGAGCTAGACAATAAGGATGACAGAAGAAGAATTGATGCCTTTGAGCTGTAGTGTTGGAAATGAGTGATGAATATCCCCTGGTCTGCCAAAAACCAAACAACTGTGTCTTGAAGATAGTGCAGCCAGCGTGCTCTTTGGAGACAAAGATGATAAAGTTTATCTCACGTAGTTCAAGCATGTTGCAAGAAGAGTCTGTTCATTGGAGAGGAACATCATGCTTGGAAAGGTGGAGGGTCAGCAAATAAGATGAAGATGCTCAGCCAGATTGATTGACGCAGTGACTGCTGCAATGGGCAGTGTGTCAGGAAGTGTGAGGATGGCACAGGATAGAACAGAGTTCAAATCTGTTGTTCATATGGTCGCTGTGGATCATACTCGATTCGGCAGCACCTAACAACAATAATAACAATAGAATTTCGCTTTACTTAAATCCACAGCCATGGCAACAGCAGTTAAGAAATCTAGAAAATCTGGAGTCAAGGATCTCTCCAGAGTGCTAAAGAGCGATGATGACTAAATTGTGCCTCATCCAAACCGTGATCTTTTAAATAACTTCTTACATTACCTGAAAGTTGGGCACACTGACTAAGGATGACAGAAGAATTGATGCCTTTGAGTTGCAGTCTTGGAGAAGAGTACTGACTATCTCACTGTCTGCCAGAGGAACAAACGAGTCTGTCTTGGCGGAAGTGTGACCATGGTGTTTCTCAGAGGCGAGGATGGTGATACTTCTCATGTACTTTGGACGTGATGACAGGAGGTCCTTGGAAAAGGCCATCATGCTGGGAAAGACAGGCTCAGAGAAAGTGAGGAAGACCCTCAATAAATTTGATTGACGCAGTGATTGTAACAGTGGGCTTGGGCATATCAGAGATACGAGTATGGCATGGGACACAGCAAGGTTCAGATCTGTTGTTCATAGAGCCGCTGTCACTCATAGTCGACTTGATGGCACCTAACAACAACAACAACAATCACAACCATATTTCCAAACAAGTTTACAGCCCAGGGGTCACGATTTCAGTATATATTTTGGAGGACACAGTACAATGTGCACAGAGGAGAGGGTGAGGCTGAGGGAGGGCTAGGTGGTAGGAGGCTGGCTTGTTCTTTCCCTGACATCAGGGCCTCTTGGGAGAGCTTCACTGATGACATTGCCTTCTGTATTATTTGAGAAAGGATGTGGAGATGCCACCTCATGTATACCAGAGTAAGAACTGAGTAAGAGGCCATCACACTCTGGTTCTGGGGCTTAGAAGAGCCCCAGGAGGGGGTCTTGACTTTGAAGAAAGGATGGCATCTCAATTTAAGGCCCCTTGGATGAACCTAAGGGAGCTCTGACGCTTAGTCTGTAGGGAGTTGGGTTGCTAATTCTAAGGTGGTGTCTCTGTTAGTTCAAATCTCCTAGCAGCTCTGTGAGAGAAAGATGGGCAGTCTCCCCTTGTCTGACGTACAGCCTCCAAAAACTCCCTACAGAGCCAGCCTTGAGTCAGTTCTGACTGGATAGCACAGAATTTGAGTTCGCTTTGGGTGTATCTGAGTGAAAACCATCCCGGTGGAGGCTAACCTCTAAAGAGAACTAGTCAGGACTCAAGGTGTGGTGGTGGAGCTCTGGGGGCTGCTGGTAGAAGAGCTGAGGACCCGTGGGAGGGTCCTGGGCCTTCCTGGGCCTCTGACGCCTCAGCTGTGCCCTTAGGACATGGAACTCCATTCCTTTTCCTAATCTAGGATTCTATGATTTTAGCATCTCTCCCGAAGGAGGGATTGACTAGAAAACATGATCAGAGATCTTAAGAACGTGCCTGCTTCTTGTTGGTCTCTGGGCTGGGTGTAGGCTTCATCGTGGCACGTGGGTGCAGGTTAGCTGCCCCACATCTTGTCAATGTCTTTTTGTAGTTCCCTGAACTTCTCCAGCCATCTGTCTGTAGACCACGGCCTTGTTCTTGGGCAACTTCATAAAATGATGGCAAGAGTAATGAAGGAGGGAAAGCTGGCAGCATGGGTCCTGGGTGGGGGGGCATGAGGTCAGAATGCCTCAGAGTGAGCAGAGGCCCGGGCTCCTTCATGGATCTCTTGCACTTCCTGGGCCTCACACTAAACGGAAGCTGGGGCCTGCAGTGGGCTTGGCCCCACGGCGTGTCACAAATCAATCTTTATTTTTTTGGTTTATAATGAAATAATCAGGTTGGCCATGGTGGAAATGTGAAAGACATCAAAAGGCAGAGGCTTGGGGTCTCCTTGGCTCCCCAGGGAGTGGTGTCACAGCTGTGCCCAGTCCCTGTCACCCTGTGTGGTCCCTTGTAAGAGGACTTATGGGCTGTGGGCGAGGGCTGCAGGCTAGGCTGTGTAAGGAGCGAATCCTGGTTCTTGCTGGTTCTCCGGGGTGACACCTGCCCTATTTCTTTGCGTTTCTGGGTGCAGCTAACTCATTACCTGCGGTGCTCACGTTGGGGTCTCCTGAATGGGAAGAAGAGGAGGAAGAGATGGATCTGAAAGCTTTTAAAGAGTTGAGACCTTTCTCAAACCCAGAGCTGGGATTGGTGGATGCCCTCCAGTGCCTCAGCAGCCATGACTGGTGAGAGGACACCTTGCCCAGGCCCTGTGCTCTGTGGCCAGGAGCTGAGTGTGGACACTCCAAGCTCTGGTTCCTGGGAAGGAGTCCGTGGGATGTATGCGTGTTCACACATGTGTGGTGGTCGGGACCAGGAGGTGGGGTTAGTCTCTAGCTCCTGTGTTTGCCCAGGGACCTTGCCCTTTCCAGGACTGACCTGAGCCAGGTACAGTAAGTAAAAATGTGACTTCTCAGCAGTGACCCTGAGTCATTTACCTCACAGTCATTTACCTCTCTAAGTGAGAATTAACCTGCTCTGGGTATTGTTCCTCCTCCTGGGCTGGAGGAGTGCAGTTTCTGTCCTGAGCAGCTGCTGATGTGTGGGGGCCAGCACTCTCGTGGGAAACCCTCCCTCGTCTCCCCTCCTGACCTCACTGTGCAGGGCAGCCCCTGGCCCTGAGGCGTGCAGCTTCGTGGTCGGCATGGCCCGTGCACGGCATCGGCCTCAGTGCTGCCAGAGTGGAGGGTGAGCCAGGGCCTCATGAAGTGCCTTTTACAGAACAGTAGTGACTTTAGTCAGAAGTCCTGGTGGTACCACTGTTAAGGGCTCAGCCCTTAGCCTAAAGGTTGATGTTGCGAACCCACCAGCCACTCAGAAGGAAGACCCGCACTCTTCTTCCATCAGGATTACAGCTTGGGAAATCCCAGGGACATTTCAACTCTTTCACGTTGGTGGAGATGTGTGGGAATCAGCTAGAGGCATGCCGCACCACCACCGACTTAAGTTAGGACAGAGTGTTAGAGAAGAGGTCCCTGCTGTGAGGCCATCTAGACTCACAGTGCCCTGGTGGTGACGTGGGCTGTCCTGGTCTGCAGAGGGAATGGGGTGCCTCCCTCCCCACTGATGACAGGGCCTTGACTTGTTTCTCAGGCAGATGAAGGAGAAGGGCCTGGTGAGCATCCAGCGCCTGGCGGCCTGCCACTCGGAGGTCCTCGCTGGGAGGCTGCACGACGTGTCCTTGGCCGTGACCGGGGAGGTGAGGCCTAGACAGTAGTGTACTGTGTGTCCCTCCCCTCCCCCATCCTATCAATGATGCAGCCGCTGCTCAATGCGGTTACACAGTGGTGGTAGAGGGACCCAGGGCTCCCTGGAGCTCGGATCTCCCCTGCTTGCTTCTCAGCTCTCTACCACTGAGAGAAGAGGCAGCCACCCATTTAACAGATTGGAAAACAGGCCTCGAGTCTTCTTCTTTATAATCTTTGGATATGGAAGCCACCAGAATCTGTTATGCCCAGTTGTCACCACTCTGTCCTTTGTCTGCAAAATGCCCAAGGATGGGTATTCTGGTCCAGATGCCCCAGTGTCAGGGAAACTGTAACGCTTCCTAAGGCCTTTCTCCCACGGACCTGAGGCTGGGCCTGGAGGAGCTGTAAAAGTGGAGGCCGTGCCCCACCTGTGAGAATGGGCTAAGGGAGGATATGAATTCAGAGGTCATTGCTGTGCAGAAGCCTGGGCAGGTCTCTGCTCGGCCCCTTCTTGCACGGGGCCTGTGTCTCACTTTCTTCTTTGAAATATTTGGATTCTCACAGTTCTGAAGGTCAGATGGGATATTATTTGTAAAAATGCTTTGAAAATCAAGTGTTTCCAGATAACATAACGTAAAATTATATCCGGAATAATAATGTTAAGTATTTGTTTATTATGAGGTTGTTTTACCAAGAATTACAGGGATTTGATTTCCAGTGGGGCTAGACCCAGGCCTGAGCTGAGGGTTGAGGTGGCTGGAGGGCTGGCAAGGCGTCCTCTAAGGCAACGGTGTCTCTTTCTCCAAGGTCACCAACCTCCGCTCCAAGGTGTCCCGCCTGGCCATCAGCACCCTGGGGGACCTCTTCAGGTCCTTGAAGAAGAACATGGACCAGGAGGCTGAGGAGATCGCCCGCTGCTTGCTCCAGAAGATGGGCAACACCAGCGAGTTCATCCAGCGGGCGGCCAACCGCTCACTGGGGGCCATGGTGGAGCATGTGACTCCTGCCCGCTCGCTGGTGGCCCTCACCTCAGCTGGGGTCTAGTAAGTAGTGCTCTTATTTGAAGGGTGGGTGGTCAGGGAAGACCAGGCAGGCAAGGGGTCCAGGGGTGGAAGAGGAGGACGGAGATGAGTGACAGGATGGTGGGGGGGGGGGAAGCAATGGTGTAGAAGGGCTGCTTGGGAAGGAAGGGGCAAAGGTGCATTAGAATGAAGAGCCCAATCTTATATCCCTTTTAAACAGTTTTTTCCCTCATCCGTTTCAATGCAGTATACATAATTTATCCCCCCTTTCTCAATCTCCCTCCGCATCCCGATGTCACTTTTAACTGAGTGAGATTCACTTATGGACACTTCTAAATAATAGGATAACCTTGACATTTGATATATGATTAGGTATTACTGTCATGACAGGAGTCCAGAATGAACGCTGCATAGTGGAGTGGACTTGGGGGGAGGGATTGTATAACAATGAAAGAATCTTTCTTTTATCTTTCAAAGAGAAGAATGAACTGGAGGGGAGGAGGGATGGGGAGAAAAGTGCAACAATGAATGAATGGAAATCGAAAATCTCTGTAAATTTTCATTAAAATTATTAGTAAAAAAAATTTAAAAAGCCAAGGATTCCAATAAAAAAACTATTGGCTTGGAAAAAAAAAAAAAAGAATGAAGAGCCCAAGGACTTCAGGCTTCAAAGGAAGTGTCTTTGCCTTAACTGGGGAAGGAAGACCCTTCTCCTCACCTCTCCTGGGCCAGGAGGCAAGGGACAAATGTGGTGAGCTGGGCAGTCCTGAGCTGTGGTAGGAAGAGGGAAGTGCTGTGCTCCAGGCTGGGTGATAACTCTGCCCCAGCCCTGGGCTGCCAGCTGGCCTGGCCTGTGGTGGTGCCTGGGGATCACTTGTCCCCTTCCAGAGCAGAGCAGTTCTTTCTGATGAGACCTACACTTGATCTTAGCCAAAAGGCAGAGAAGCGATCTGATGAGACCTGAAAGCCAATGAGGGGGTGAAGACATGATTCTAGGACTGGAGGTGCAGTGGACACCACTAGTCTCCTGGGGTTGGTCCTTGACTGCTACTGCTATTGAGGCCTTTGTACAGCCAGATTTCCTTTCCTCTTAAGCAAAATAAAAATATAAACCAAAAACATTTCCCAAGCTCTTTATCCCATTAAACAAAATAACTCTCAATCCCAAAGAACTGGTCATCACAATGCGAGATAATGCATTTCTGACACAGCTGCTGTACCAGCTAGTAGACCTGTAGTAATCGCACCTCAGTGGAATGGCTTGGGCAAGGGACTCTGAGGCCACCCTGTATTGTATGAGCTCCAGAGAGAACCAAGAAAAGTAAGCTCTTGGTTTACTGCTGTTCTTCGTTTTCCTGAAGCTGCTATCTTCAATCCTAGTCCTCATATTGTTTTTGTTAAGTGCCATCAAGTCGAGCACGACTCATAGTGACTCTATGAACAAAAGACCTGAACCCTGTTCTAGAACTATTGTTGTTTCTCTAAGTTCATAGAGTTTCCGGAGGCATGTTTTTTAGGAAGTGGATGCCACTCCTGCTTCCAAACCTGTCTTAATCTGGGAGCTCTGCCAAACACTGTCCACCATGAGTAACCATTATGGCATTTGACACACAAGTGGCACGGAGTTCAGCATCACAGCAACCCCAGGTTTCTCAGTACAGCAAACTGACAGACTAATGCTCTACCACTTAGAAGAAATGTTCATCCCAAAGGCAATTAACACCAGCTGACTTTTAAATACAAGGCCCACCCACCAAGTCCTGGTTGATTCTAAATCCGGCTAAATCTGGCAGATCCAATCAGCTCACAGACAATTGTGAATGAAATAAAAAACAACCAAACAGTCCACACCCATCCGGTCCTCAACCAAAACAAGAAACTCACTTTCCCGAATCCAACCACTTCATATATCGACTCATGTTAGGAAGTGATTATTCTTTCCCCAAAGATCTCCCAGCTCACATGGCAGAGATTTGGGGGCCCACTGCTGGTGTGAAGCATGGATCTACAGCTGAATCCGTGTATGACTCTTGATGTGTGTTGCGTGCTTTCTTTCAGCCACCGAAACCCTTTGGTCCGGAAATGCACTGCTGAGCACCTCTCCACGGTCCTGGAGCAGATTGGTGCAGAGAAGCTTCTCTCGGGCACCAGGGACAGCACAGACATGCTGGTGCACAATCTGGTGAGGCTGGCCCAGGACTCCAACCAGGACACCAGGTAACGGCAGGGCTGCAAAACCCAGGAAACCAAATCTATTGCCCCCAAGTTGATTCTGTGTCATTGCTGTTGTTAGATGCTGTTGAGTGGACAGTGGCTCACAGTGATCCTGTGAACAAAGGATCTGAACCTTGCCCCATCCTGTGCCATCCCCTGCCATGAGCTCTAATCTGTCTTGTTGAGGACCTTCCTGTTTTTCTCTGACCCACTCTCTTTTTCAGCTTGATGTACTTTTCCAATGTCTGGCCTCTCTAAATTAAAGTGTGATCTACTTGGGATTGTGCAACAATTGTTTGTTGTTGTTGTGTGCCTTTGAGTCACCTACACCTCATAGCAACCCTGTGTACAATAGCTTTGAACTTCGCCCTGTCCTGAGAAAATCTCACTGTCTCTGACACATTTACCTTCATGATCCCAGTTACTGTGTCAGTCCATCTTATCCAGGGTCTTCCTCTCCTGCATTGTCCTTCCAAACATAATGTCCTTCTCCAGGGACTGGTCCCTTCTGTCCACATGCTCGAGTATGTGAGAAAGACCTTAAAAATCCTTGCCTCCAAGAAGCAGCCTGGTTTCCCCTTCTCCATGACAATAATTGCTGTTGTTGTTAATTGCCGTTGAGTCAAGTATGACTCACAGTGACCCTGTGAAGAAAAGATCTGAAGCCTGTCCTATCCTGCACCATCTTCACACTTCCTGACACACAAGAGCCATTGCTGCAGTCACTGTGTCAATCCACCTGATTGAGGGTCTTCCTCTCCTTCGCTGACCCTCCACCTGTCCCAGTATCACGTCCCTCTCTAAGGAATAGCCCCTCCTAGCAACATGGCCAAAGTATGTGAGGTGATGCAACCTAGAATTGTGTCCAGATCTAATGGCTTTCTCAGTTCTGACATTTCATCGGACACATCACTGACTATATTTTATCTCCCTCCATGGACTCCTTTGGCTCCTGGTCTCCCTGGCTCTGCCCTCTCTTGGTTCTCCTCACTCTCTGTGAGGGATTTCTCCAGCCTGTCTTTTGTTTGAAAGTGGATGACTAACGGACTATCTCTTTATTCTTTGTCCTCTTCTTCTATCTTTTTTCTAAGACATCACATTTCCCCCCCTTGTGGTTCCAGTTACTAGCAAACTCTGATCTTCCCTGTCTCTCCCTCTACTACAGACCCTTCTCTACCCCACAGTCCTAGATCTCTTCTGTCTCCATAGGACCATCCTGGGGCTGTTCTATTATTGTCTTCATTGCCTTAAATGGACCTACTGCTTCCTTCCTAGTCTTAGTCTTGTTTATCTGCTTGCATTTTTCTATTGCTAACTAACCAAGTTGTTACCCCATCAACACTGACTCATATTGATCCCCTGTGTGTCAGGGCAGAATTGTGCTCCAGAGGAAGTTGGTTTTTTAGAAGTAGATCCCCAGGCCTTTTTTTCTGAAGTGTCTCTGCGTGGAGTCAAACTTCCAACCTTTTGGTTATGACCTGAGTCCCTTAACTGTTTGCACCATTTAAGGATGATATACTGAGCCACCCAGGATACAGAACAGGGAATCCTATACCATACTGATTCTAAGAAAAAGAGCTTTTGAGTTCTCCCCCATTTCACATTTAATATCTTTGAAATTGCCAGGCTTCTTACAATTAGAGATCCTCACAGTTGCTGTTGACCAGGAAGCAAATATATGAATTGGGTTTGCTACCTGCACATTCTCAAACTTGGCCATTATTTCTGTAACATAAACCGCTTAATTAAGTGGTAAAGAGCTATGCTGCCAACTCAAAGGCTTGTGGTTCGAATTCACCAGTTGCTCCATGAGAGAAAGACAGGCAACCTCCTCCTGTGTGATTTAATTATGTTTAATTATTTTATTATGTTTAATATTATGTTTGTCTCAGGTACTATTGAGTTGGAACCAACTCATAACTGATCCTCCAGTGCAATTTATAGAGGCTATAAATTGCACAGGAGGAGATTGCCCATATTTCTTTCATGGAGGTTGTTAGTAGATTTGAACCATGGGCCTTTGGGTTGGTAGTGCAACTCCTTACTACTAAGCCAAAAACTTCCACAGTGGGTTGTAAATGAAATAGTAATGAAACAAATATTCACTGTTGAAGAAATCACCAAGGTTCCACATTTTCTTGTAAAGCCACAACCAAGTACTTATGTGACTTAAAAAATGAAAATACCCACAAGTAATGATACCTTTTGTTCCAGAGATAACATGATAAGTGATTGTGTTTCACAGGGACAATATAATTGTAGGAAATCTTTTATTTTACTCAATGGAAAATAGAGTAATGGTGCTTTTTACAACCAGAGAGTCTTAGGTTGAGTAAAATATGGCAATTCTAGACGCTTCGTGATCTACCTCCAATCTTTTATCAAGTTCTGTCATTTCAAAGTCCTTAGCAGCACCATGTCCCATCCCCACTCCATGACCTTATTTTGAGTTTTCACCACCTCGTGCCTAGATGATTATGATGGCTTCTCAATGGTTCCTCTGGACTCTAGCTATGTCTCCACCAATCTATTTTTCACACTGTTCCCAGAGATGTTTGTATACTCAGAACACACGCAGATTAACAAAAAGGGCAACCTAGGTAGAAC